AATTTAGGTTTTGCAAGATCACAAGTCCGTTGTAATATTAGACGCGTTTTAAAATCGTGAGACTGACGACGATATGTAATGAGTCAAAACGGACAATATTTGATAGTGGTGAACTGAGACTATTACCAATTTTGTGTTAGTTTAGTTTGCGAAATTTCAAAAGTAACATTTTAGTTTGAAATAATTTTAAACAGTCTTGAACGGTTAGTCGATTACCGAGAAATGAAGTAATTCTTCTATATGAAATACCTATTCGAAAGCTTTGTTCAACCCTAATTAGTACTCTCGAGAGTTGAATGTTAATTCTACCTTCGATTTAAAAATTATAATAAATAAGAAATTATTATATATATACATATGTATGCATATATTTTAATTTTTCGAAGAGTGAAAAATTATTATTTTAAGTTTCCCTAAGTAGGGGTGTTTATATGAGTTAGAACCGAACCAACTCGAACAGTCCAAATCAAACCATAAAAATTGGGTTTGGGTTAGATTTTTTGAAAAATCGAAAATTCGAGTTAGTCTATAGGTTAGCATTTTTTTGATCCGGTCACCCCTCAACCTGAAAATAAGGTAACTATCGGACCCAACCTACTCTACTTTTAAGATTATTATAAAAGACTAAGAATATTTGACGTTTGTAATCGATGTTACTAATGTAATATGTATTCTAGATAACTAGGCTTTTTTAAAAATAATTCAACGACTCAACTTAACCCGACCTAAAAATAAAAGGTTAAATTGAGTTGTGAACTCCATTCGGATTGCTCGGATTACGAATCTTTCTAAGAGAGGTTCATAATTAACAAGATCTAGCCTTTTGAAATATTAAATCAAAATCAAACGCTAATGATGAGAACACACAAATCACCGAACCGATCCGTTCAAAGAGATTATTATAATTAATCAAACGCTAATGATGAGAACACACAAATCACCGAACCGATCCGTTCAAAGAGATTATTATAATTATGAATTCATAATTGGAATAAAGTAAAGGGAAAGTGTTTGTGGTTAGATTCCTAAAAGGTAGACAGCTTGAATGCACTGTGGAGGGAGGCCTCTTAGAAGCTCCCCCAGCCCTTCAACCCAACCCCACTCCTTTCTTTCAAAGGTTCTTTCGAGATTTAAGAGACCAAAAAGTGCCCTTTTGGAGGGCAACTGTCCTAATTTATTTAAAACCCATTAGGTTCATGAACCTTTTTCTCTTAACAAACCAATGGGAAAAGAGAGAGATCAAGCTTTGTATCATTCCCTTCATTTCTTTAGTTCTTCTTTTCCAAATTTTCCTGTCATGGCAAAGTTGGCAAGCTGCCATTTGTTTGCCTTAGTTTTCAAGTTCATCTCCCTCCCTTTCCCCCATTAGCTTTTCAAGCTTAAACGGTTCGTTTCGAAAAGAAAGTTCTTATACCCGCTCGAGCTCATTGCTAGTCGATATTGTCCTTTTTGAGCTTTCCCTTTTAG